AGGATGGAGGGGAATGTGCGCACACCAAGCTTTTCATTACTGTGATCTCAAAAATGTTAATTGAGGCTTTCCTGATCCCGAGAATAATGTGTGTTAGTTAAAAACCAAAAAAAAAAAAAAACCCTCTGGATTTTTTTAATTGAATCATATAATCTCCCGAGGAAAACCCTGATAGCCTTTTATAGTGCTGGACGCCCTCGCCAGCTGAGCCAAAGTGGGCCTGGGAAAGCGGCCAGTTATGTGCATCTTCTCAAAATAGGGTCCAAAATTCCGTAGTAAAAATTTTGTTTAAGTTTTGATTGGAACTTTCCTTGAAAAACGAAACTAAAAATTACGAAGATAAGTTTATATTATCCTTCACTTAACAGCTTTTGTAACATTGTGATTACAATTGTCTAGGATGTCTTAGACCCAAGGCAAGCGCATACTTGCTTTATTAGCGTCTCAAAAACAACAGCGCTTCAGTTTCTGAAACAAAAGAAGAATTGAGCAGCTTGAGGAGGTGAAAATCCCTATATGTCATGAAGTAACCTCTTTTTTTTTTCTTCATATTTTTTAAGCACATTCATAAAAAGGTCTCCTTTACACTGGTATGTTTTCCCCAGGGCTCTCTTGAATCGTTTTTACTTGAATTTTTATCTTCTGAAGCAGCGTGATGTGCTCGCATCCAGGGAAATTTTGATTTCTCCAACAGTTACCTGATCTAACGCCGCCCGACACAGATTTATCAGTGGCTTTCAGCGGTGGGAGCAGTTTTCCAACATTCCTTTCGGTGATTTCAGGGAAGCCTGGATCTTCTGCAGCGAGGCTTTAGGTTTGCTCTGCGGTCGAGTTGCACTCACTGTGCGCGAATTGGGTGATCAGATGTCTGCACTGTCTAGCAGCCAGAGACAGAGGGGAGGCAGCGCGTTCACTGGCCCTCATTCCCAGAGGGCTGAGAGCAGATAATCCTAAACTTTGCAACAATGCTCAAGTCAAGTTCTCCAGGCTAATGTCGGTGTAAGCAATGACTGGCACATGGAAGGAACCAGAGCCAAGGAGAAGCCTGGTCCCTAGCATCAAACCCATATACCACCTGGTGGGTGGGGCACCAGTTGCCTGGCAGAAGTTAATAAGCAACTCCCAAAGAGGGCAATCTACAGATATTGCCTAAAGCAAGGGGGCGGCTGAGTTTAGCCACACCTCCCAGAATTCATTTTTGAAAGCTTCTCTGGGTCTTTCTGAGCCTACAGAGTGCCTGACCACCAGGGAGGTACGTGGCTCCATCCTGACTCTGGCATCTAAGGTTATACCTGGGCATGATCTGAAAGCAGAACAAAGGGGATACAGAAGCGTCTTTGAGGGCAAGTGCCCCCTGCCATGGGGAAACTATACAGGCTTTATAAACTGTAGTTAAGAAAGTTTCCTCTTGACTAGGATAGATTCAAACAAGAGATCTTAGCATGTGAGTGTCCCCTTCCGTTCTCTCCCCACCTGGGGGGCAAATGCCTAGAACTTTCCAGTGGCCCTCATTCTAGGGACCCCGTCTGTAACAAGTATTCTCTGAGGTCAGAGTCATCAGAAGCAGAACCTGAGACAGGGACGTCCGTGCCAGTGATTTCCTGCCATGGCGCTCTTGGGAGAAGAGGAATGGAGGGAGCAGGCAGGGGCTGAGCATTCAGCCAGAGTCTGCTCGGCGGCTTCCCCTGGGCGCTCTGGACCATGAGTTGCGCAACTGAGCTGGTCTCACCTTGAGGCAAAGGGGCAGCCTTGTGTCCCTCCGCCACCCCCAGCCCCGTTAAGTCATAGGCTGCGAAATACTTGTTGGGGAGGGCACCGTAATCTCTCAAAGAAAACTGTGGTGGGAGAGCAGGGCTTGGAACTTTAAAATCTTTTGTCCAGGGCAGTGTAAACAGCCGCAGGAGGGCTGCACAGATGCCAACAGGTGGCAGCACGGTGACCCATGCCGGCCAGTCTGTAGTATTGTCCAGGATCATGTGAGTCAGGGACCAGCTGCTGGGCGCACACATTCTGAGAGATGTATTTGCTTTACACTCTTTTTGGGTGTTGCAAAAGATCCATCTAGAATTTTGTTATTTCTATTAGACTGAGTGGAAGAGAGACTTGGAATAACACTGTAAATGCTGGTTTCTATGTTATTTTCTCATACTTTGGAATTAACAAAAATAAGGTCATTCAGCAGCTCCTGAATAATCCAAAGCAGCCTTAGCCAAAGCTAAGTAAACTGAGGTCCCGTCAAGCTCCAGAGTAAACTTTTGAAGCCACAGCCGTTCCCTCGCACACAGGCAGAAACTGAAGAAGCCTTGAGGCCGTGGATCTCCAAGAACAGATAGGCCCTTGACTTAAATCGGAAACCTCTCTGCTGGCTGGAAAGGAATTTCCAGTGCATTAGTGAGCTCTACAGAAGGAGTTCAGAACTGGGTTGACTAATCCTGTTTGTGTGTGTGTGTGTGTGTGTGTGCGCGCACATATACACATGTATATGCTGGTACGCTCTTGAGAGTAATTACACCCACATGCCAGGTGTGAACCAGAACTGTCCCAGGGAAAGCGAGAGCTAGGGTCACCCTAGGCTTGGGCTCGCTGCCCCTGAGGCCCACGGGCCACCTTAGCTAGGATTTAGAGTAGCTTCTACTTGGTCTAATTGTAGATATTGCTTCTGGGGTGAGGAATGAGGAAAAGGGCGGTGACAAAGGCCACCCAAGGGAATCATTAGTACCAGTCTTTGGGACATGCAGGTCTTGAGACAACATTTGGGAAATTGTTCTCTTTTGTCCGTATTGAACCAGCCAGCACAAGCCCCTGGGTTCCAAGAGCAGCCCTCACGCTGCCATGTTAAATGTCCGTTTCTCTCCTGGGAGACCTTCCCCTCCTACTCCCCGAGCCCTTCATATGCAGGGGCCAGCATCGCTCAGACCCGCGTCCTCCGCGCTGATTGTGGTAGGTGTTGACTCTGCTCCCTGGGGGGTGCACAGGGTCCATGAATCCTGCACCACATCCATATTCTGTACATGAACTTATCGCCCCTGAGTGTTTGAGGGCCAAGGTGGATGAAGAAAACCTGGGAGGCAGGACTGAGGAAAAGTGTTCCCGACCATGGGAACGGCTTACACAAAGGTGTGGAAATGACACCACGAAAGAGTGTTTGTGCAATAGACATGCATATGCTTCATGGGGGAGGGGGACGACATCAGAGAACATGGGCCACAATGGACAACAGCTTCGGGATTTTATGCTTTATTCTGTTTGCACATTTTAAGAAGGTTCCTCAAGCAGCCTTAGGGTGGACCAAAGAAAGGAAGTCTCAGAGCAGGGGCTCCCCAACATTATACAGTGAAACCGCTTACTTTCCCCCTTCCCATTCATTCCTTCCCATTCATCCCTTCCCATTCATTGAAAGTGCTTTTCCCATGCCCCACAATCTCTGAATCTATTCAGTTGTCTACTCAGAGATGACTGGGGGGGGGAGCCCAGGAATCTGTGTGTTTCAAGATGCTCCCAAACTGATTCTAATGCCAGGGGTCCCAAGTCCACGTGAGGCATGCTGGCCAAGGTCACGACCAATTAGAAATTTTATAATCAACAAGATTGTTTTCTCGGAGCTTGGATGCTAAAAAGATAAACTAGAGTTTCCTTTTCTATTTATATATCTCCTGGTTTTGTTTGTTTGTTTCCTTGAATTTTGGAGGGATTTTTGTCATTTTTGCTATTTTTTAAATAAAGTTTTATTGATACTTAAGCAGAACAAAGCACGCACATCATGAAGTATCCCATGCATTGAATTTTTATGACGATCACACCCAAAAATATTCCCAGCACTCAGGGAACCCCTTCCACTTTCTGTCTCTCCCTGGTCGCCCTTGTAGCTTCTGGTGCCATGGGTTAGTTACCTTTTATTGTTTGTACTTTTTGTGTGTTCGATAATGTTCATAATATACTAGTGTAGGTGTGTCATAGTAAATGCTTGCATTTTTTCTCCCTGACTGGACACAACAGAAAGCTTCCATTTGACTCGTCTACAGGACTAGAACCGTTGGTCTGAGCTGAGACGTGGGTCTTGGGAATTGGAGCAGGAAGCCCGGGCAGCATTTCAGAGGCAGATCCACACGAACTGGTTCCTTTGGGTCGCCATTGTGTGGAACAGGGAAGGAGACAGGATGTAGAGTCAGCCAAGAATGGCCTTGGGGAAGTCACGCCGCCTCACCAAACTTCGGCTTCCAGGGACACTCAGCGAGTGCGAGCTCTGGCCTGTGCCTCTCCTTCTCCGAGATCGGGAGGCATGCTGGCTCCCCTTGGAAGTCTCGATTTGCTTCAATGCCGTGGAGAAGCCATGGGGGTTATCAAGAGCCTCCTTGACCTTGACCTTGGCTATACACCTCGTGTCCCATGGAAAGACAGCAGCTCCCTGTGCCCCTGTCCTTGTTCTCTTGTGCCACTGAACGTAGAGTCTGGAGTAGGCCAGCTACACTGGGAAACCTCACTGTGCCCTTGACCCACCCCCAACCCTGGGAGGCTTGCTGGGGAATTCAGTCCCCCTCGCTTCTTTAGGCTGTGGAAAGAATCCTTGTATTTTCATTGGTGTGATTTTCTTAGAGTTTGACTTTGCTACACCAGCAAGGTCTTGAAAGGCAGGATTAGGGTGTTGGCTTAGGAGCCGGGGGCCAGAAAGATGACTTGGTTGCTCACCTGTGGCTGAGTCCAGGTTACCGGGAGGGCACGGGGTTCAGGGCCCAGGTGTTAGTTAACAGTCGGGAGTGGTTTTGTCCTCTGCACCTGTCTCCCAGGGAACCCATGGGAAGGGTGGGCAGCCAGAGGGGTCTGGGACTTGGCCTGGTCAGAGACTCCTCACCGCACCACGGCCCACAGCGGCTGCTCTCCGAGCACTGCCCTAAAGATAGACCGGGTCTGCTGACGTCCCAGTCCGCCCCCAGGGGCCACTTCCACGCATCTGTCTTCCTGGGGCCGGCCCATCTGTAGGCACTTTTTTCTCTCCCTTTCAGGAGGAAATGGGCATTTCCTGTGAACTGCTGGAATCGGACTTCCTCAAGTGCAGTGTGGGATTTCCTTTCATGAGGTCCAAGTCGAAGGTAAGGGGCAGGGATGGGGCACTTCCTCGGGAGCGGCCCCCCAGACCTTCCTGCCAGCCTCTGGCTCCACCAGCTGCCTCCCCTGAGGTTTCCTTCCACAGGACCTGGGGTGGCCACGCCGGGTCCGGCCACACTCGGGCCCACGGCAGTCTGCTCCGAGTCTACTCCAGAGGGGCCGTAGTCACGCAGACCTTGTCTTTGAGCCACATGAGGTGTCCCAAATGTGAGAGATGCAACATGGCCTTAGCACTGGGGCAAGTAGCATCTGGTTGACCTTCTAGAAATGTTTTTTCCTGGGACATTGGTGCCACTTTAAGACCCGAGACTACACAGGAGAAGGTGCAGGTGGTCTGGGCTAGGGACCTACAGTCCTGACTCCCCTGGGCACTCACGATTTTCTTGAGAGATGTCTTAAAATTCTTAAAAGGTAAGTAATTATATTGTACTTTATTTTTTAAGTAAAAGAAATCAGTCACTTTGATATCTATAAGGAGCCCCAAGTTTTCTAAGCCGAAACAATAATGTGGCCCAACATAGTCAGACATTCATGGAGCATTCTAGCATATGCCATCATGGTGAGGTGATGCAAAGATATGTAAAAATGTGATTTTGGGAGGCAAAACTAGAATCTGAAAGACCAGGTCTGCCTTATGAAATGTCCTGACCCGTGTGCCTCAGTTGGTTGGGCGTCATCCTGCAAAGCGAGAGGTTACCAGTTCGATTCCTGGTCAGGGCACATGCCTGTGCAGGTTCTGTCCCCAGCTGGGGCCCATACAGGAGGCCGCTGATTGATCTTCCTCCCCCATCGATGTTTCTCTCCCTCCCTCTCTTCCCCTCTCTCCAAAAATAAAGAAATAAAATCTTTTTTTAAAAAAGAAAAAGAAACGGAAACTGTTTTCCCTGCTGTGATTTGAAGGAAGTTCACACTCCTTCGTCTACCTTCTCTGCCCCCCTAGAATAAATGAAAGCTCCGCCCCCCTCTCCCGCCTGTCAGAGAACCGGATCACTTTCATCTCAGTGGCTTTTTGGTCCCAGCGCGTGGTAGCTGTTTTATATATAAACCAATTTTGAGAATGTTCTCGTGAGAAAGATGATTTGCTCATTTCTTAAAAATCACTCGCACCCGTCAGCCTCACTGAATGCACCTGCTCCAAGCGACTGTGGCCCCTACGTCCGTGATTCCTGAGCCTCTTCCTGGGTCTCTCTCTCGTCTGCCCGCGTTCTCAGGAGAAGGGAAACCTCAGGGCGGCTGCCCATAGAAAAGGACCCCAAGCCCCGTTAGACTCCGGTTAGGGTGAGGAGAAAGGAGGAAGAGCCTGGCCTCGGACATCCTTGCCTGGCGTAGCACAGGTGGCACACCACACACAAATTTCATTGGAATCTGTTGAGCAACAAAAAAACAGACTGAACTGAGTTTTACAGTTGCCGTCTCATTATAAAATTCAGTGTACATCCCAGATCAGACCTAAGGTGGGTCCTAATAGTTTTAGTCTGAAGTTTATTTTAAAGGGAGAATTTATACCACTGTCACAGACAGACCCAGGCTCCCTTGCCGTACAGAGAAGGTAGTCGTAAAAATGAATCAATGAAAACAAAGCAGTGTTGGAATTTGGGGTATCACATTTCATCAGAATCCGTTAACTTTCAAAGTAGTCACAGAGCCAAAAGAAGTATGAATGTTGGAATATTGAATTTTTTCTCCCAACTGGTAATGCAGCGACCTCCCTACCACATACAGAGGTTAAGGCTTGTAGCAGGAGTAACCCTGGAGACAGGGGGGTTTAGGGGGACATTCCCTGGAGAAAGCCCAGGAAGTGACCCGGTTAGGAACAGGGGCTCCCTCTAGTCACAGCCTGGCCGGCCCTCCCCTGTCCCTCGGACCCTGTGTGTCACTGGGCTCCAGACCGTGTGCTGAGCCACCTGTCCACCCTGCTGGCTCTCTCGGGTCAGCCGTGTGCGTGTCTGACCTCCCAGGCTTCCACCCCCGATTTTGGCGTCTTGCCCAAATCCTCTGCTTCTCACCTCATCTCGATCTGCAGTGTGTGTAATGCAGATCTCCGGCCTGTTCTGACTCTCTGCTGGGACAGGACCCGTGACTTTCCTTCCTTTGTCTCTTCTAGCTTTACTTCCTGTCCTGTCTCCGTGCCCCTCCCTCCCAGCCCCACGGCAACAGAAATTCTGTGCAGAAAGGGAAGCTCGGTGGCCACTGTAGACGATGGGCCGGTGTGACGGTCTGGTGTTCGTACCTGCAGGCAGCATTCGGTTCAGTAGATTCCAGTCTTTGGAAGTTAGACCATGGCCTAGAACTGGTCATAAAGGGACCCCAGTGTTTAGGTATTAAATAAGTCATAGGCTCTCAGAGCTTGACGGAATTTAAGAATTGTTTTGTCCACCCTCTTCTGTTTTTTGTTCATCTTCACCCAAGGACATGCTTAGGGGAAGGGGTAGAGAGAGACATCAGTGTAAGAGAGAAACATCTACAGTTGCCTCCCGTACATGCTCCAACCAGGGGCCGAACCTACAACCTAGGCATGTGCCCTGACCAGGAATCGATCCCATGACCTTTTGCTTTATGGGATGATGCCCCACCAACGGGGCCACCCAGCCAGGGCCTCTTCCTTTTATTAAAATGCAGACAAATTCAGTGTCTTGGTGAAGATCACATAGTCACTGTGTGGTAGAGTCTGGTTCTAAAACCCCCGCCAAGGGCTCCTCCCCCACTCCCACGCACGCCCGATGTCTGGGGGGTGAAACACATTTGCTGAGGGTGGCGTTTCCCAGACCACAGGAGGCTCACCACCACAGGTACCTGAGATGATTGTGGATGATATATGGCCTCAGCACTGGACAGCAGTGGTTCCTACAGTGGGAGAAGCCTTCCCTTTTCAACGCTCTTTCAGTGCTGAGCGCACGCAGATAAGGTCTGTGCTGGGGTTAGCATGTCTTCGCCACCTCCCCATCGCTGGTTAATCCCTCTCACCCCAAGGGAGCAGACCTCAGGCCCAGAGCCTCCAGCAGGCTGCAGAATTCAGCCTTGCTTTGCTTCCATTGTACTTATTTTTGTCACTCCCTTCTTTTTGTGGCAAGGGATCCTGGAGTCCCAGCTGTGAGAGTGGCATACATTTCCCTTTAAAATGGTCTTTCAGCACAAAGAACAAGGCAATAAAAATATGAAGTACGCGTCACAGGTGATACGGTATGCCAATGGGGCAAACAGTTGGGAAGCTGGCAAGTGAGTGAAACTGAGAAAGTCCTGCTTTAAGAGACAAGCGTGTCCCTTCCTGAAGAGCCTCAGCCATTGAGGGGGACAGAGTGCCTCTTGGTGGGGTGGGCAGCTTTTCCCTCAAAGCAGTGTCTCCAGCCTGGTGAGCACAAGGATACATGTGCAGGTAAAGCCGGCCATGCAAATGCATTTCCAGAAGTCATAAACTGGGGAAGATCATCGCCAGCTGTTTAATTTGGAGTCCCTGCTGATGCCAACGTCACTTTCTTTTTGCCCCCCAGTATGAATTCAGCGTGATCTTTGATACAAGCCATTTGTCTGGGGAAGAGGAAGTTCTGAGCTTCATCATTACTGCTCAGAGGTAAGAGGGATTTCAGCTTTTCTTCCCCAAACATAAAGTATTGATGGAATCTGGAGACACACCCCAGTCACGCTTTGACGATGCCCAGGAGGCTGAGGAAATCGAAGTGACAAAGCCCCAGGGCGCTGGGTGGGATCAGATCTCTCAGGGGTGGTGCTCGTCTGCTTCTGCTTGCACCGCTACCCTGTCTCCCTTTCCCTGTCCTTGGAGGGCATCTGGGACAGTTCGTGCATTCTTGGGTCACTGTTGGGTGATGCAAAGTCCTCCGTTCACCACGCGTCTCCAAACAAGTTCACAAATCTGTAGGTAAAGGGTCCGAGGAAACCCTGCCTGGGGAAGTGATCGCAGTTGCAGCTGTACTGGCCTGCTCCTCGTTCCCTGAGAGCACTGTCTGAGCCCAGGGTTCACAGCGGGGATGTGGAGGAGAGAGGTCTAGGTGAACAGGTGCGGTGGTAAGCACTCACGGGGCCATGCAGGTATTCAGAGCTGACTCTTACCCTTTGGGGAAGGGAAAACCGTTTCCAACCTCAGCTTTTAGGCAGCCAGAGACACCTTCAGCTTCTGCTACTGAGACCATACCTTCGGCACAGGACCAAAGGGGACCCCACACTGCCGTTCCCCATGTAGCTCCCATTCAACTGTCTTTGCCCAGGCTCTGGAAATGTAGGTGACTCTTGGGCGGTCACCTCTCTTTCACTCCACCATCAGAGGGGAAGCCAGCAGCCCAGCCCCCTTACATTTCCTGGGCAGGAACCACACTGCTTGATCGAGGTCCCTGACACTTGATTTGAAAGGCAGATACCCTCCCCACCATTGCAAACGGTCGTCTCCAAAAACTGTCTGCAGAAATCTGCCTTTCCTGAGTCCATTTGGTCCTTGACGTCATATCTTGCATCTTTGCTGCCAGAGGTAGTAAATCCTGGTCTCAGGTTTTTCTCTGAATTTTGGCCTCTGTGATGCCTCAGCCCCAGGGATTCTTGAATTTTCATAAAAACACCAACTGCCCACAGAGTAGACGAGGATGCTTCGCACATCCTGAATCTTTCAGTCTTGTCCACAGTCTCACTAGTGGCTTTGCCTTCGGGACCTTGGTCTCCATCCTTACAGCTGGGCACCTGGGAAGCCCAGCTGAGGGCCCCACAGACGTAACCCAGCAGTGGACAGCGGCAGGACTCGCGGGGTGCAGGTGCAAGCAGGCTCGATTTTCACCTCCCACTACCCTTGAATCTTATTTCCATTTAAGGCCTTCCTCCATCCCAACACTATTTAAAACCCACAGAATTAAGATGATTTCCCCCCCTGGGAATGACTGTGAAGGTGGAGGCACACATTGTCAGGGCCCCTCAGCCCACAGCCACTATAGCATCTGCTTGGTTTAATGCTGCTCTCTGCACTTGTCAGCATTACCTCTAATAGTCTGGAGAAAATTCTCTCCTAACAGTAGGAGCAGCAGGCCTCAGTGGGTTTCCGACCTTCTTTGCCATGTGTTGTGTTCGACTTGTCCTACAAAGCTAACAACTTGCCAGCTGCTCAGGCACAGGACCAAAGGGGACCCCACACTGCCGTTCCCCATGTAGCTCCCATTCAACTGTCTTTGCCCAGGCTCTGGAAATGTAGGTGACTCTTGGGCGGTCACCTCTCTTTCACTCCACCATCAGAGGGGAAGCCAGCAGCCCAGCCCCCTTACATTTCCTGGGCAGGAACCACACTTTGTTCAGTGCTAGCCAGTCCTAATGTGCATCAATGCCAAGTGCATCCTATATGTGCTCTAGGACCTACAGAATAGATGTAACTAGTAACAGCAGTGAACGGTAAAGTGTAGCCCAGCAATCCCAGAGCCCCCGTGCAACCTTCCAGCACAGCGTGGCTCCCATTGCCTGGATAGGGAGAGCCTTTCAACACAGACTGTGGTCGCTGGGCTTGTCAACTTCAAAACTGTACAAGGCTTTGTTCTTTTTAATTTACACTCTTTTCAAGATCACACGATTCACGTTCATGTAAAATGCAACTGTGGTGTAATACAAACATGTGAGACACACAGAAAGGGTAGACTTCGTTCTGACTGCTAGAGTGCAAGAGGGCTTCACTGGGGAGGTGGCATTCAAACAGTCATCTGTCTTCAGGGTGAAGAAACATAGGCACAGTAGTGACAATGGGCATGGGACATCCTGCTGTGTCACACCCACAGGGTGGCGGGCAATGGAGTGAATGGGGCATCGAGGGCCATCTCAGAGGCAGGGTGGGGAACAAGCCAGGGCAGTGGGAGATGGGCTGGCAGGGGAGCCTGGGCTGGACCATGAGGGCCCACATAGGCTCAGAAAGTCTGAACTACGTTCCGAAAGCAGTGGGGAGCCACGGAATGTTCTTGAAGAGGGGAGTGATGCAATGCAACAGTTTGCCAGCAGAGCATAAGATTGTCAAATTTAACAAAGGGAGGCAGGCGTCCATTGAAACGTGAAAATTCTCGTTCTTCTGCTGTTTCTTGGATCCACTGAAGACTCACCAGTGTTGGGCAGATCTATCGACATGACCTCTGGGTCCCTCAGCCCCTGGGGCAGCCAGTATTCCTGGGAAGGAACATGTGAGCAGAAAATAGGACACGGAGGAGACCTCCCTTGTCCAAAGGAGGAAGCGCCACCTGCCTCCCCACCCCACTCACGGCCAATCAGAGGTGTAGAAGGAGGGCTGACCAACACACAACGGAGGGAGCTTCATCTTTTAGAACGACACGTCCGTAGCCCAGTGGCGCGCTGGCCTGAGGTGTCCAGTGGAATCCACTGGGGAGCTTTAAACACTACCAAGGCCCAGCCCCCCCCCCAAGAGATGTGATCGAATGTCTGGGGTGAGATCTGGGCCTTGGGAGTTCTAAAAAGGCTCGTTAAGTGATGGTCATGGGCAGCCACAGCAGAGAACCACTGTCTGTAGCCCCTTACTCTATACCGGACTTATTTTCGATCAGCAAACGTCCACTAAGCATCTGCTGTTTACCAGATACAATGCAAGACACGTAGGAAAAATGCTAATGACTTACTAAATTCAAGAAAATCTCCTTCTAGGTGCTGGCCAGGTAGTTCAGTTGGTTAGAGCGTTATTCCACTACATCAAGTTTGTAGGTTTGATTCCCAGTCAGGGCACATGAACCAGCGAATGCATCAATACGTGGAACATCAAAGCGAGGCTTCTCTCCCTCCTCCTTCCCTCCTTTCATCTCTGTCTCTCAAATCAATAAATAGAAAACATTTTAAAGAACATTTCCTTCTATACATTACTATTGCCACATAGCGTCAGGGAAAACAGGATTCGTAGCGCAACTATTAAATAGCAGCTCTTCTAGTTCTTTGGATGCAGGCGTTAAGGGAGTTGTATTATCTGTTGAGTGCACAGCAGTTTTCAGGCGCTGATTTCTTCCCCAACTTTGGTGAAAATCCGGATTTACTCCCCTGGAGGGCACCCACAGCCCTGGACTTCCTGCTGTGAGGGAAAGATCCTCAAAGCTCCTTATCTTGAAAGCTAGCAACCCTGCCTTCCTTCCCGTCACCACCCTTTGAAGAGCTCTTGCCCAGTGTGGATTTAGGAGCTCGTCACGTTGAGAGTAAACAGCCCCTCAAGAGCCCCCCTCTCAGCAGCCCGGCTTCGCCGACCTCGTGAACGCATCGCAAGTCACGCGCTTGCAGAGTGACTGGGAGCCTTTTGATGTCTGGCCTCTTTATCTCAGCTTTTCAACTTAGCTCCGTCTGGAACAGTCATCTGATGACAGATGACACTGTTGGGCCTGAGCTGCCAGCGGCCACAGGTGGCTGGACAAAGGGCAGGGCAAGGGGTGTTGCTTCCATCAGGAACTAGTTCCAGTTGCGCAGACCAGGCAGGACGCTCCATGGGGAAGGGCGCTGGCCTGGGGTCCTCTCCATCCACACGGAACTCCTCTCCCGTCTGCTGGTAGCAGTGGTGCTCCGGCTTTCACTGCCCCCCTGGGAAGGGAGGGCAAGGAAGCCAGGCCGGGTGGGCACTTGATCCTGCTGCCTCTGCAAACTGGCTGCCCTCTGAGTGATGGGTGTCACCCCACATGCGGAAGGCAGATGAGGAGCAGGGGCCAGAGTCACAGAGTGCCATTGTTTCAGAACAATAGGAGAGAAGGAGAGGGGATGTGAGCGCTATTTAAGTATTGTCACATTCAGCAGTTGCAGGGTGAGAGAGGAAGAGTCGGGAAGAGGGAGGGCAGGGGGCAGGCTGAGCGGGCAGGTAGGAACTCTGCACGTGGGCGGGGAATGGTGAGAGGGGAGTGATGACGATGAGCTGTGCCTGCACCTCAGCGAGTCCCGGAGACTCTCATATTCCACCCTGGAGGGTGAACTTGGCTTTCTGCTGGGACCCCGTGGTCATGCTGTGTGATGGAACCAACTGCAAACAAACCCAGGTGCAGTGACGTGCACCCAACCACCCTGCCTTTTGCCACAGCAGTTGCCTCCCTGGAACAACAGTCACAGTTCATATTTGAAATTTAATCAGATAGTAAAGGAAAACTGGGTCTTCTCCCTCCTCTTCCTCCTCCTCTGTTCTTCTTTTCTCCTCTCCCCTCTTCCCATCTCTCACCCCAGCCCCCAGATCTAGGGAAGATTCCCCCAGGAGAGGGAATCACAGAGGAAAAGTCCTGCTTTGGGAGTCGGACTGACCTGGCTTGTTCTGGGTCCTGGGGGCCAGCGACCTAATCCATCTGAGCTGCTCCTTGCTTGTCTGAGGTGGGTAACCCCTCCCTCCTGGGGTCATCCTGAGGACCAGGGCAGTCATGCTGTGAAATGTGCCTGTCACATAGCAGCCACTCAACAGCCTCCAGCTCCCTTGCTTTGTCCTTCCAGGATGACCTCCCAAGAATCCCAGTCCTGTGCTTTCTCGCCCCAAAGAGGATGCCTATATATGGGCATACTGCAGCCAAAGTGCATGGCCGGAGTTCCCGTGTTATTTGTGGTGACAGGGTCAGCCAGGGCCTCTCTCCTGAGCCTGCCTGTCCCTGGAGGGTGGGTGAGGCCTCCAGATGGGAAATAGCTGTGGAGTCCAGCAGCAGGTTCCTTCCCGGCTGCAGCGCCCCAGCCTTGCTGGGTCCATTATTCACAGTGCAAGTGCTTGTAGAAGCAGCCCATGCTGGCAGTGCCCATCCACACACAGCCCTTGGCATCGCCTTCCCCACGCGCAGCTCCCAGCTCCTGCCACTGCCCACGAGGCGTTCTGTGTGCGGAGCCCACTGCCCCGAGTGCCTGCGTGTGTGGGGCAGGGGCCAGGGAGTTAGTGCGCCCCCGCCTTGCCCAGCAGCAGCACTCAGGAGCCAGTGGACGAAGGCCCAGCTCCTGTGCCCGGAGTTGGGAAGACTGCCTCTCAGCGTCCCTGAGCCTGGTGCCCACAGCCCTAACCTCCCGGATCACATGCTTTCATGGTCTTCCTCCCCTTTCCTGGGTCCCTTCTCTCCTCCCGACTGGTATTTCCTGGGGTCAGCTCTCCAGGACTCTACTCACACTCACATCTTTGTGACGGGAACACAACTGAGACAGTTGCATGCCCACCGTGACTCTGCCAGGGACCTCCAGAATAGAGGATAGACAAGGTGCCCAGCCAGCCCTGGGGGGATGTAGGTCGAGCTGTAAGACGGAGCACAGGAGGCTGCAGCCGCCCGTGACCTGGTGCTGACCAGCATTCCCTCCCCTCTTCCCACACAGCGGCAACGTGGAGCGTGCAGGGTCCCTGCATGACAACAGCCTCACGCTGGTGGTGCCACTGATGCACGAAGTGGACACGTCCATCACTGGGTGAGTGGCCCAGGCTGGGGTTGCCAGAACACAGAGGTGCCCCGCAGGGGACAGGTGGTGCCTTTCCTGAATTTGCACGTGTAGCCTGGACTCTTCCCAGCTCTGAAATGCAGGGACAGCCTTAGCAGCAGTGACTTGCACTCTCCTCCCTCCTGATTTTCTCCTCTTTCCCCGCCACCGACCCACCTGGTGGGAAACACAAGAAGTGTGATGACAAGTTGAAGCCCCTTAATCTCGTTGCACATTCTGTACACCTTTATGTGCATGTTTTCCCAGCACCCTCCCTGCCAGAGTGCCAGATGGTAGCAGGTAGCGAGATTCCTGGGCTTAAAATCTCAGCCAGAGGCTGCTGGGCCAGAGGTCACAGCTGGAGGGGTCCTGGTGCTCTGGGTGGCTCGCAGTTGGCACCAGCTTTGTGTGGCTCTGTTAACCCTTTACACAGAGCCGGCAGCGTCTCTGCCCAGTGTCAGTGCCAGTCTGCAGCAGGCAGGGAACCACCAGGCCAGGCCCACTGCCTGCCGGGTAAAGTCCAGTCCCCGAGGTGCTGCTGGCATTGTTGGAAAGCGGGGCTGCAGACCCAAATCAACGCGGTGGTTTTCAGCCCAAGCCCCTGCCTGGAAACCTGAGAGCTCAGTTCCTGCTTCCGGCGTCAGAAGACCGAGCACGCCCCTCTCGCAGAGTGGGAACAGGCTTTGCTCACTCTGTTTAGATAAAATGAGGATCCATTGAACCCTTGCTCCAGATGCAAGCTGAGCTTTCTGGAGTTTCTCATTTTTCAGTTTTCGAGAGCTCTGGGCCCTGGCCTTGGCTCGAGGTAGAGATGCTAATACGTCACAGAAGGGGCCCTGGCAGTTATCGCCAGTGCCCTGCGGGGTGCCGGGAATCAGGCCTGCACACTCAGCATTCTTCGTCATGGTCTTCAGACATGAGGCATCAGTGGAATATTATTTGCAAATTAGCATAGATTTGCCTTTGTTCATGGCTCTATTTTTAACCATGTAGTTTATTTACTTGTCTCATCAGAGGCACAGTGAGAGTGTGCCCTGAACCAGGCCCTGTCCTTGGGGACCAAAGAGAAAAGTGGCTCACTCCATCCTGTGTTCGGGCCCTGGGGGGCCTCACAGTGAGGTGTGAACAGCCCCCGATGAAGCCATGGGTTAAACAAACCGCCCAGCCTCTGATCTTCCCAGGAACACCAAACAGGGCAAGCATAATTACAGGGACATGCTCCTGCTATTTGATAACATTGGGACTCTAGCTGCATTTCTGAAGGAATACGCTTAAGTTGAAAATAGAAGACTTGCTGTCCGTTCAGACCCCGTGCCCCAAACCTTACATGGTTAGTGTTCAGGCAAGTGAGCAGCTGCTAGACTCTCACCTAGAATCCATCATTCTTCTGGGAACCGGAGTGAGGCTGGGCTTCGCCTCTCGTCTCAGAGTCTGTTGGTCCGGGCCACCTGGAAAGCATGCTGCAAGCCAACCTTGACCTCTCAGTGACATGTCACGTAGCCACTGTTTGAAATCTGAAGAAACATGCTGCCATCGGGTGGATTCTACTTTTAAGAACTAATTTCTCATAGTTTGGGTAGTTTGACAAATTTAAAGTTTGAAGCAAATCTGTCACTGCATGGGATGTAGGGTGCCAATTATATAATTCCTATGTATTTATTTCCTTTCTCACTCTGCCGAAAGTTTTGCACAACATAGGACATGTCTAATTTTCTAATCCAGTTAAAAGAAACTGAAGTCAAAGCTACCATACCCAGCCGTGTTATTCATTCCAGCAGCACAATCCCAGTACATAGTTATGCCTGCCACTCACTGATTTGACCCAAGGTGACATGTCATAATTGGAAAGGCCTGTTTAGAAAGCGTAAGTCTGGCTGTGTCTGTTTGCAGGAGAGAAAGTAACAGTTCTGGAAGGAAAGCCCTTGGTGGCAGGCACTGGGGACAGCCAGGTCCCAGAGATGGCTGTTTGGGTTCTCGGGCTGGGCGTGAGCGTGGGTTGCACGACCAGGGGTTGGGATGATGGACGTCACGGTTTCTCTTCCAGAATCATGTCTCCAACCTCCTTTGTGTACGGCGAGTCTGTGGACGCATCCAACTTCATTCAGCTGGATGATCTGGAGTGTCATTTCCAGCCCCTCAACGTCACCCTCCAGGTACTGCCCTTGCAGACAGTCTGTGTCCCGGGGGACCAGTGGGAGGGCTCCTGGGGCCTGACTTCTGAAAGGCAACTGAAGGGCCAGGCTCCGTCCCGGAGAAACTGTCCCCAGCGTGGTTGGCTGGAACGTGGGTTAGGTGTGCAGGTGTGTTTTCTGTGACCATCCCCAGAGTTGATTCCTTCCCTGTCTGGCGCTTCGCTGTGTAGACCCCTCTGCTTTCCAGGATGTGGAAGGGGAGCTGCATGATGCCTCTGGATGCTGAGGCCCAGGCCGGCAGCCCAGCCCAGCCGGCCCCTAAGGACCCCTTTCTGTTCCCCATCAGTCTTCACATTTTGGGCAGGGCAGCGTTGAGGACTGGCCACATCCCCTGCCTCCTGGGTTCTCCGTGCTGACTCAGCCAGGAGCCCACCGCCCCAAGAGAGGGCGGCCTTCCAGAAGTGCAGTTTTACAGGGACAGAGCAGTGCCAGCTCATGTCCACTCCCCACGGGGGCTGGGGGGTGACACATGCGGCCCCGTCACGGGGCAGGGCTGGCCCTCCCTGTCACACCTGCCGAGGACAGTGGTCATCATGAAGGACACCATTGCTTCTCTAAGCCAACAGTGGGAAACTTTTCTGAAAGGGCCACGGGGATAAGAATTTTAGGGTCGGCACGCTGTCCAGTCTCTATAGCAACTAATGACCTACTGCGGCACCAAAGCCACCCACCCTAGGCAGTGCAGATGCAAACCTGCCACGCTGGACACTGACATCTGAAGTTTATAGCATTTTCACGTGTTATGAATCGGTGCTCTTTCTGTTTTATTTTTCCTCCAACCATTTAAAAATGTAAGGCCCCTCCTGGCTCGCAGGCTGTATGAAAATAGCAGCAGGTTGGATCTAGCCGGCAAGCCGACCGTGCTGACCCTGCTGTAACGTACAAATTCTCCGGCCAGCACTGTTCAATGTGAGACCTTTTTTTTTAATCCTTACCTGAAGACATGTTTATTGATTTGAGAGAGAGGAAGGGAGGGAGAGACAGAGACAGACAGACAGACATGGACTGGTTGCCTGCTTGGTGCACCCTGACCAGGGATCGAACCCACAACATTTTGGTGTATAGGACAACGCTCCAGGCAACCGAGCAACCATGAGACTCTTTGAATATGAATCCAGAGGGTCCAGGGGCCTCAGCCTCGTTCAGTGTATTCTCTTCAACTAAGAAACAGGGAAATGTAGGCCCAAGCAGGAAAGGGCAGGCTGCAGGGCCCAGAGCTGCGGGGAAAGACTGGCCCAGCCCGCCCCACCCCCCAGGAGCGAGGATGAAGGGAAGGAGGGGGAGATGAGCACACCCACCTCAGTTCACTCTATTGTAATCTACATCCCACGTTGCTCAGAGCTCTCCCCCTGCCTCCCCGCTGCCCTTCCCCATGGAGAAGGTGGCTTCCTGGTCTGGCTCTCACCACTGTGGCCAAGTAATTTTTATTTTCTTTCCCTGTGGCCACTCCCAGGTTGACCAAGGGGGTGACGAATAATGATGGGGTGAGGGTCCAGAGAACGAGACAGTAAAACATTTGTGGGGTCACACAAACAATGGTCTTTCTTTCTCCAAAATGTTCTCCCAGGCAAGAGACCTCAGCAGCCATGATGGATAACGCATGTCCCCGGCTCGAGGGGGCACGCCTCTTGGCCAGCCAAGCCCAGCTGTCACCCCCACCCCATGCTTGATTTACAGGGGCGGGGGGTTGGGGTTAGATCTGCTTTTGAGGCCCTGGAGTGATTGCCGTGAACAGGACCTCTGTGTTTCCGAATTGCTTCTCAGAATTCATTTGTTTTTCTCCATTGCTTCTTGCAATGGGACAGAAAACGGGTAAAGATCAGCTGGAGTTATTTCGTTTTCCTTAAATTGCTTTAATTTTAATTGCTGACTCTTAGAGTTTTTAGGTGTCATACAACAAAAGATAGAGTCACAAAAATTATTTAAACACATGCCACGGAATGAAGAGAGTACAGGCGTCGAGAGGAGAAAGCAAGAAGGAAGAGCAGTTATACAAAAGATCCCAGAACATTTTTACCACCCTCTAAAACAAAGAAAGGACTCAGAGGGCCTGCAGTTAACTCATGTCTCTCTGAAGGCGTTTTCACAGGGAGCTTGAAGTTTGGTATTCAGACAAAGGGTTTTCTAGACACCACACCTGACAGGATACAGGCCAGAGAATTGGGGGCCCCGGGAAGGAGTGAGCGGTGGACACGTCCTTTAGATAAAGCCCTTGATTATCAGTTGCCTGAGGAAGAACACGCCATTCCACCAGGATTAAGCGAGGTGACTGGGAGTGTAAGATGGATGTGCAGTCATTAAGTAGGAGATTGTCCTGTGTTAGCAAAGCTGACAGCTTCCTTGAGCATTCTCTGCAGGCTCATTTTCTGGTGTAATTGTGTCATGATGACCATCTTGCAGGAAGGCCACTGACCACACTGATGGTGATAACGACTGAGAGAGAGAAATAATGGGGGAGGGTCAGGAACAGGGATCAATCACTTCTGTTTTTCCTTCTTCTGACAGCATTCCTCCTGAATAGCACAAGACTTTTCTATAAAGAGACTTTTAAAATTTTTATTTATTTATTTATTTATAGAGAGTGACAGGGAGGGAGAAAGAGGGAGAGAAACATCAGTGTGTGTTTGCCTCTCACGCGCCCCCTACTGGGAACCTGGCCCGCAACCCAGGCATGTGCCCTGACTGGGAATCAAACCCAAGACCCTTTGGTTCGCCGGCCAGCGCTCAATCCACTGAGACACACCAGCCAGGGCTAGAAACTTTTTATACAAAGAGATGTTTCTGTGTCTTTTAAAAGCCATTATTCAATAAGCTACGTAATCATTTGAAGACTCCACTGCAAATGCAGCTGGAAAAAAGGCAGAAATACTAAGTGTTCTTAACAGAGACAAATAATTTGTTGGCCAACCAGAGGTTGTTCTTTTCCTTTTGCATCCAGATTCGGTCATTCCCCTCACCTGAAAAATGATGCAGATGTTGCACAAGAACATTTGCAGAGAATCAAATGCTAAGACATTTGTTAGAAATAAATTAATGTTGTAATACAAGCTCTCCCATCTGGCTGGCCCTGGTGGTGAACTAATGCAAATCAGAATCCCTTTCTCCTCTCCTTCCCCGACTCAGGCTGTAATTGGGATTTCCCAGACACATCAGTCCATTTCCTCTCAGTTCTGGGCTCTCAGGTTTCACTTCAAATTACTTACTTGGATTGCGGTTGGCTATTCCTTCCTGTTCTTGTGTCTTAGGGTGGTTGTTCTTGGTGAATGTCGTTCCTTTTGAATCAACAGTTAGCAGTGACAGCTCATCTGCTCTAGCCTTTTTTGAGGGGGGGAGGGGTCTATTCTTTGAAGCAGAACCTACTATTGCAAAAAAAAAAAAAAAAAAATGAGGACAGTTTTTTAGGGAAGGGCTGGCTGGAGCCAGACCCTGACACCTTCTGTCATGTGTGAAGACCTGCTCAGACTTCTAGCCCTTCTGACCTGAACTGCCGAGATGCCCTGAGTCCCTGAATTCTCTCTCTAGTCCCCAGGCTTCAGAGTAGCATCTCCCTTCTTCCTCTCTCTTGCTCCTAACCCACCTTTTAATAAATAAATACTGTCTTTATCGAGATACCATTTCCATACCTTAATGTTCACCCACTGAAAGTATGCAGTTCACTGATTTTAGCACATTTGCAGAACTGACCTGGGCAATGATCACCGTAATCTAATTATAGATTATGCCACCCCAAAAGGAGCTCCGCATCCCTAAGCGGTCCCTGTAACTAATTACCGCCAACGTAGTGGCTCAATGCCAGCCCCATCCCTGATGACACGAATGTATTACCCTACATCACTGCAGCACAGGGATCCAAAATGGGTCTCCCTGGCCAAAATCACGGTGTCAGCGGGGCTGTGTCCCATTCTGGAGCCACTGTTGGAGAATCGGTCTTGTCACCCTTTGCAGCTTCTCCCCACTTTGGCTCAGTATCCCTTTGGACCCCAAAACCAGCAATGGCTGGCAGAGTCTCTCTCACATCTCCCGGATTCTGACTCCGTTTTGCTCTTCCCAATAGAAGGACCCTTGCGATCACTTTGCACTCACCTGGATAATCCTCAATAATCTCTTTATTTTTAAGGTCAGCTGATTAGCAACCTTAATTGCCCTTTGCCATGCGAACATAACATGTTCACAGGTTTCACAGTGGAGGACACGGATGTCTTGGGGGGGACATTCTTCTGTCCAGCACACTCCCCATCTTCCGTACACCCCAGCCCTCGGCAACTGCTCACCTGCTGTCTGCCTCCTACCCATCTTTTTTCTTCTCCTTCCTGTTCCATTTTTAGCTTGAGTTTCATCCTCAGCCTTTGCTGGGTCCCTTTTCACTGACCAGTCTCTTGGCGGGTGCCATCTTTTCTCTCGTTTCTCAGGAGATGATGGGCTGCTGGAGACAGAAAATGGGGAGGACCGGGGCGGGCAGGGGCGAGAAGGCCAAAGTTGGAAGGACCAAATGCTGGCACAGGAAAGAGACGCACAGATGACATTGAACAATATAAGCCAGGGATCGCCTCCACATTTCAGAGAAACCCAGTCAGCTGGGTAGTGCCCTGAAAACAGCCCTTTCTGTGAATCAGATTGTTTGGTTTAGGGACAACCTGCTGTGTCTATGAGGGTCTCAGCCACCTCAAACTCTACAATGAAAGGAGTCTGACCAGGTCAGTGGCTGTCAAACTGTGATTCCCGAGAGCTTCTTAGAAATGCAAGTCCTTCAGCCCACCCCACGCCCTGCCCACCACCCTGTTTATGTTTGAACAAGCCCTTCTGGTTATTCTGCCATATGCTAAAGTTTGAGAACCACTGGACTAAAATTATGCAAAGAAATAATTTTAGAAGGAAGAAGACAAGAACATTGGAATCCCCCATCATTTGATATTTCACTTGAAGCCCTAGACTCTCTGTGCATCGCTTCCGAGAACCTCAGCGGATACATTGCATGACGTGAAAGGAAGGTCTGTATTTCTGTTAAAACTTGCTGTGTGTGTCCCCCGCCCACAGGTCTATAACACAGGGCCAAGCGCCCTTCCCGGGTCATCCGTCAGCATCTCCTTCCCCAACCGCCTGTCACCTGGAGGTGCAGAGATGTTTCACATCCAGGAGATGGTGGTGAGTTCTCTTTTGTTTCTCTGTTGCTTTCGGGCGTGAACCAGCTCATTCACATTTTGTACTCTCTCTGAGGGCCCAGAAAGTTAGCCGGTTCTAACCTTAGGAAACATCTGCGGAAGCCCAGGAGACCTGCAACACCCGAAGTTCTACATTGAGACAGTTTGATTAATGCCATTAAGAAGAGCTCTCTGGGGAGAGGGGAGGGTTGGCTATGAACCTGACCTTCTGGGATAGACTCGACTGAGTCTGGAAACCCCCAGCCACTGTCTGCAGTCTGGTGCGTGTCTGAATGCAGCGCTCTGAAGGAGAGGGCTGTAGCATTCATCCAGACTCTTCAAGGGCCACTGATGCCTAGAGGGGGAAGCACTGGTTCATGAAACATAACCGCGGTTGAAATTCAAGGTCATGCAGAATATGCAATTCCACCCGATCCTAAGTCAGCTGTAGATGGTTTTGTCTGAACAAAAGCTTGATAACTAGTGTGTGGTCACTCCCACCATCCTTCTTGACATCATGGTCCCTTGATTTCTCCTTTCTCATGGGCTTTTCCCATCTCCCCAACTGCTGTGGGGACCAGGGTCACCTTTTTTCCTCACTCAAGTCTCAGAGAGCTCCCCCAGACCATGGCTTTACATCCAGTCTGTGCTGAATTCAGCAAATAAGTTGCACTCACCACGTGCCAAGTGCTGGCTTATTGTGGGGAACAAAACAGACATCATCATAATTCCAGGCCTCATGTATATTCAAGTAGAGAGAGACAAGTAATATATAAATACATAAAACATATAGTCTTAATACATGATGGTAAATGGAAGGGGGGAAATAAAGGAGGCAAGGCTCAGGTGTGGGAAAGCTGTAGTTTTAAGTGATCAGGCAGGTCCCACTGAGACCTCCACTGGGGGTGTGGGAGGGCGCGCAGAGCTGTCTCAGGAGTTCATAAGGGGATCTTCTTTGCCTATGAAGGCCTCACCAAGTCAGTGTTTCCCGAGAACTTCCTCTCCTCGATTTTAGCCCTGCGTGGTTTGTGTCCTTCGCAATGCCACCTCCACGCTGCCCACGTGTAGGGCCCAGTGTGGACATCCACCCAGGAGTCTCGGTGTGTGTCTTCACCAGGCCTCACTCCGGGGAGCTTTCTGCCTCCAAGCAGATCACTGACTCCCCGGGCAGCAGCCCTGGACCGTAACACCGATGTTTAAAACGGGTTGGTTGTGAGGCCCATTCTGCACGAGAAGCATCCTGGGTTTTCTGACTTGGTTGTGCATGGAGGGTAATTCAACAACAAGTCTCCCCTGCAGCCAGCTTGCTGGAGGCCAAGGTTTAACGTGCACATGAGCCAGGCCTGGCACTTTAAAGCAGCCCAGTGAACAACCCAAAGCAAAACTGAACAACTCACTTCCTTCCCCAAAACGCCTACGGCTCTCCCCGCTGGTGAGCATGTGATCTTTTTCCCTCCTCCTTGACCCCCCGTTTTTCCCATAGAAATTCAGGATTCACCCTCTACGAACTCAGCACTCATCCTGGGTGGGAGGTTCCTGTCGACGAGAAGTCAAGGCTTCGAAACTGTCCCCAGGATGCAAAGTCCTTGGGTGACGAGCATGCTTTTCCTTGACATCCTATCACTGAGTGATGTCATGTAGACTGTTATTAATACAGCTTCGGTTAGATGATGAGGGGCTAAGAGAAGAAAGGGGGAAAGGAAGCCCCTGTCTAGTGGGAGGTGGACCTTCCAGGCCTGGGGTGGATTTGGGGATCATGTCATCTGAACCCTCTGCCTTCTCACGGAATGCGGTCAGGCCATCTCCCAGTACGACAGAACCGTGTTGCCAGTGAGTGCTTTTAGTTGAGCCAGTCTGGTGCCACTGGGAGTCCATTTTTATGACTATCCTCAATTCTTAATGCTCTAATTTTTTTCTAATTTTTATATATTGAGAGAGAGAGAGAAACATTGCTTTGTTGTTCCACTGATTGATGCATTCATTGGTGGTTTCCTGTATGTGCCCTGACGGGGATTGAACCCACCACTTCGGGGTTCAGGGATGACACTCAAACCAACTGAGCTAAGCTGGCCAGGGGCCTCTCTGACCTTTCTGAGCTAAAATGGAAAACAGTTGCCTAGCTCCCTCTGTGGAGAAGTTGAGCTATTACTTGGTCATTTTTCCCAAAAACTGACCATAAAAGATCACAATTGTGTAATTCTCTGTTTTCCACCCTACCACTCTCTTTGCTCTCTCCATATTGTCCAAATAAATAAAAATTCAAAACGGAGCACCAGATGCTTACGCTTCCTTACCCCACCTTTCCTCATAAGCTGTAATTACTCAGGCAGGGAGGACCTGGTTTACCATTTGAGAACCTGCTGACTTCCACTCCTAATTATTTTTCTGTGTAATTCTCAGAGGACACCCTGAGGTTCTCTGTTAAAAAAAAAAAATCAACAAGAAGATCTTAATGGCCAAGACGACAAGGTCCAAAACTGCCTGACCTGCCGCCCACCTTTTAGGCTGGAGTCCTCTGTCTCCAGCCCCATCCCCGACCTTGTCTCCCAGCTGCTCTGAACCATGAGGGCTGCTGCACTGCTCACCGAGCACCTCCCTGGGCCTCCTGCCTTAATTAACGGCTTCTCCCTCCCCTCTGGCTGTGGGAAGCCCACTCATTCCTCAAGCTCAAGCTCACACATCCTCTGCTGAGAACAGTCTTCCCCAAATGTTTGAAGGGCTGGCCCCTTCTCACAACGCAGGCCCGAGCCCAGAGTTCACCTTCGTAGGCAGGTCTTCCCTGAGCGCATTAGCTGAAGTCGCAAACCCTGTCAACTTTGTCCCATTCCCCTGCATGTTACTCTCTTCATGTCACTAGCCACTACCTGCAATTACTACTTTTCCTCGCCTTGTCTTGCACAAGATTCAAAACACCATGGCAACCAAGGTCACGGCTGCCTTGTTTTCTATGTTTCCTCCGCATTTGGTGCCTGGACCACAGGATGTGCTCATTTAAATGAAGGGTCTGGTCACTCCCACTCAGGTGGCATCACCATCACAAACGGATACTTCCTGCCTTAGGACAGGTGCGAGTCCTTAGACATCTGTGCACACTGCGACACAGCCAGCGAGTACTCCATATGTCCTAGGAGCTCAGGTAATTAGCACTGAATTGCAGTGGAGATGTTTTGACAACTGCCCTTAACCCACAGCAGAGGTTGCCTTAACTTTAACGTAGGAGTAAGAAAGAAGGTAAAGCTGCAATAAGGGACTGAGTCACCTGTCAGAAAGAAAGGCCTCCAAGAGCAAATTTAAACTCCAACCGTTTTGGTCAGAGATCATGGAAATCTCTCTCTCCCTTTCTTTCTCCCCCTCTTTCCATCTTTCCCCTTTCGCCCCCCACGGCCCGCCCCCCCACACACACACACACGTCTGCTGATCTCAGCAATAGATTCGAATCATTTTTTTTCTTTCTGCACATGTCTGAGTGTGAGCTGAATAGTCAAGTTCCCGAAATGGGTCAGGATTAGGTTGGCTTCCATTTTTTTTTTTTCTTTCTCAACGGAAGCCAAACACTTAAAAAAGGGGGAGGGAGGAAGCTGACAGAATTCTGGAGTGAGAGTTGCGTTCCTGGGCTCTTGGGTCAATTTGAGTTCTGGCTAGTGGGAGAAAGTGTGTGTTCCGGGGGGTGGGGGTTGGGAAGGAGCTTCCGCCTGGGCTGTGTGTGCACAGTGCGGGTCCCAGGGTGCCCTTTAACCCCTGTGGACAGAGCCAATGAATCCAGCACTGACGGAGGGCGCCAGCCTTATCAAGGAGCCCAGGGGCCGTGCTCCGGTGGCGGCAGCAACATCTGGAAGCATTACTACTTCCTTGTGGGGTGTGGCCTGGTTGGAATGCCCGTGCTTAGGTGCCTGGTGTGTTCTGGCCTTAAAAGATGATGATCACGCAGTTGGCTTTCCTGTATTCCTTTTTGTTGTTGTTCCTTAAAAGCAATACGGCACAGAGCCCTGTCATTGCAGGGGTGACGGGTTGTTACCGAAGTCGATACCAGGAAACCTCACCGAGGATAAACAGAGCTCATCGGTCAGTGCCGAGAAACACATGGTTCTAATTTAACCTGCCGAGGACTAATTGTGTGTGCTTCGGAAGCACAAAAACAGGAAACCTCCCTTCTGACAGACACACCAAGCTTCTTCCAAAAGGAACTTTGGAGCATTGTTAGACACGGAGCAGTGATTCTCTCCCCCGCTGTCCGAGAGCCAGCCCCACTCACTGCTCCTTAATCATCTCGGCTTACGGCCTAAAGCGTCTTTCAGGCCTCCCAGGAAGTTTTGACACTTCACACTTCATAAATGGCATCTGCGTTCCTCTCTCTGCCGCTCTGATGGATGTATGGTCAGAAAGCGCCTTGAGAGGTTAGACGGATGAGTGCCCACGAAACAAGCCGTCCAGAACAGGGCTGTTTACTTTTTGATAAAGGGATCATCATAAAGTACATGCAGAGATAAGTTGGTGGATCGGTAGGTGTGCTACTTTATTTTTTACCCTAAGATGCCTCCAAGAGCTAGAACCAGAATTTAAAGAAACCAGTACAATTCCAAGGACTGTGTCAGGTCCCACGGGAGGCGGGGGGTGGCTACCGACTCATTTATTATCCAAATCGACAGACAGGTCTGCTTCCAAATGCCTCATTATCTGTGGAAGACCGGCATTTTTGGCATGCCTGTCAAGTGCTCAGATAACATATTTATGTCTCACTTTTTCACTCAAGAGAATCTGACCGCATCTGGAAATTCTTTTGTGTCACCGCTTCTCGGAAACTACATCGCATCTGTATCACTTTAACTCCGTTAAAAGGCCCTCCCGGGCCTGCGAAGTGGCCCCCCATGGGAGGCGTGTCTTTCTCCGGGCGCACGGGAATGAGTTCTGCGGTACCGGCAGCCTGGTGTTGCGGCCCGCACTGGAGTTTGCAGGGTGTTCGCCTGTCACGCCCAGAGGAAAAGGGTGTGGGCAGAGGGGAGGCAA